CGTCATCAAAGTTTAGCTAATTGCCAAATAATTAATTATCGTACAGATGAATCATTACAATGGTTACTTGTTATAGGTAAGATAAAAAAGAAGAACAATAAAACGTTTTATTAGTTTATTTATTGTTCATGTTCTCGATTTATTGGTTTTGTCTTGGATTTTTTTTTATAGGTATTCAAGCACAAGATAGTCGTGTTGTTGGTCATATGCAACTTTATTCTGTTGAACGTAAAGTATCACAACCAATTGAAGGACATGCTGCTGCATTTACACAATTTAAAGTCAATGGAAATAAAAAACCATCAACACTTTTTTCATTTGCTGTACGAGGACCACAAGGAGGAAAAGTAATAGAGAAATTTAAATAATTATTTTATTTAAATATTTTAATACAAAATTTCTTATTTAGCTTCATATTATTGAAGTTGGAACACCACCACCAGATAATCAACCATTTCAAAAGAAAGCTATTGATGTACAATTTCCAGCTGAAGCACCAAATGATTTTCCTGTTGCTATGCAAACATCATCAAAACATGGTGTCATTTATTTAGTTACTAAATATGGTTATATACATATGTTTGATATTGAAACTGGAACATTAATTTATATGAATCGTATTAGTGCTGATACAATGTTTGTTACAGCACCATATGAACCAACATCTGGCATAATTGCTGTTAATCGTAAAGGACAAGTAAAAAATAAATTTATAGCAAAAGAAAAATTTTCTAATTATATTTTATTTTAAAAGGTTCTTTCAGTTAGTGTTGATGAAGATAATGTTGTATCATATATACAAAGTGTATTAGGCAATGCTGAACTTGCTTATAAAATGTCAGCAAGATGTAATTTACCAGGTGCTGATCAATTATTTCTTGCAAGATTTTCACAATTATTTCAAAGTGGAAATTATAGTGAAGCAGCTAAAGTTGCTGCTACAGCTCCACGGGTAATATTACAATTATTTATTATTGATAACAATTGAAAATATACAATAGTTTCCTATTATATATCGAAATTCGATTTGGGCTTTGTTGTTTTTTTTTTGTCTTTTGGAAAGCTAATGCAAAATTTTCATTTAAAAAATTTCTGTATAATGATACCTTACGATAACCTTGTAATTTTTTTAATATTAAAATACTTTTATAGTTTGTTTAATGAATTGAGTACTGTGAATGAATTCTATTCTATTCTAGAATAGAACTATTGGCAAAATTTTCTTTAAGTATCATCTTAGAAATCAATGTTTTGCTATTCTATATATGAGACTATTCGAATTTAATAATTACTGTAGCTTATATTTATACTACTAAGTATGATTCAATAGAATATAACAATAAAAATAAATGAGAAAATAATTCAATAAAATTGAATATTCAAAATTTTGCTAGGTGGAAAATTGTACTCAATGAAAAGGTCATATGACAGAAGTAATAGCAGAGAAAACAGTTTTTCTAACTTGCAATGTAAAGATAAGTTCTTGATTGTCATCGAACTATAGTTTTCCCATTAATCTTGTTTTGACTAGAAATCAAATAAACTCAATTATGTTGACAATATCATTAGTTTTTGAAGTATAAATGTTAACATTCATATAATGATTAATATCTTTTTTTTTTCATAATTAGGGAATTCTTCGTACACAACAAACAATTCAACAATTTCAAACTGTTCCACCACAACCTAATCAACCATCACCACTACTTCAATATTTTAGTATTTTATTAGAATCAAGTAAACTAAATAAAGAAGAATCAATTGAATTATGTAAACCAGTTGTAATGCAAGGAAAAAAACAATTAATTGAAAAATGGCTAAAAGAAGATAAAGTAAATATATATATATGTATCTACGGTTGATTTCAAGGAAAATGGGACATACACACCTTTCATATGCCTTTGATTCTTTACAAGGATTATTTTTCTAAATAAGTTCTTTTAGTATGGAAATATGTAAAAAATATTCAATCTCTTTAACCATATGAGAAAAAAAATTGAAGATTTCAGGATAGACTCTACGATATTAATTGCATCTATGGTGAAATTTTCAGCAAAACTAGACTGTAAAACATTTTCTCATAGAAACTGATTTTCTAGAAGTTCTGAAGAAGGATTTGTATCATATGGAAATGATTTTGAACTTCTCATTCGGCTATAGAAGCACTTTTTTTGTATTCCATCATGTCCCTCATGAAAAACAAATATTTTTTTTGAATAATCGAAACATGCTTAGAAAAAACCTTGAATAGAGATTCTTTCACATAAAGGTTTGTCTACAGAGTGTACTATTAAGTTTCATCTCAATTTGAAGTTCTTTTAAACTAAAATGCATAAAGCTATAAAGTCGATGTTCTCCATTGTGTCGCGTTACTAATAAATAATTTTGGTTTTTAATTTTTAGCTTGAATGTAGTGAACAATTAGGTGATCTTGTTAAAACAATTGATCCAACATTAGCATTATCGGTTTATTTACGTGCTAATGTACCAATGAAAGTTATTCAATGTTTTGCTGAAACAGGTCAATATCAAAAAATAGTTCTTTATGCTAAAAAAGTTAATTATCAACCGGATTATATTTATCTTTTACGAAGTATAATGCGAATTAATCCTGAACAAGGTGTTCAATTTGCACAAGTAAATCATCCATATATGAATATATTCAAGACTAGCTCGAGGCAGCCAACATTTTGGGCACAGATGTGTAAAGATATTTTTTCCCCTTCGATCGAGCTATTCCTGCATATATTATTTAAATTAAAAAAAAAAATTGATTTATTTTATATCTTTTATAATAGTTACTTGTTCAAGATAATGAACCATTAGCTGATTTAACACAAATAGTTGATGTTTTTTTTGAACAAAATCTTATTCAACAATGTACAGCATTTTTACTTGATGCTTTAAAAAATAATCGAGAAGATCAAGGACATTTACAAACACGTTTATTAGAAATGAATTTAATGCAAGCACCACAAGTAAAAAATATATTTGACTTTTTTCTTGTTGTTTTCTCAAAAGAAAAACCATTTCTTTTTTTATCTGTGCTTGTTTTCTAATAAAAGGTTGCTGATGCTATTTTGGGTAATAATATGTTTACACATTATGATCGACCACATATTGCACAGTTATGTGAAAAAGCTGGTTTACTTCAACGTGCACTGGAACATTATACAGATTTATATGATATTAAACGTGCTGTCGTACATACACATTTACTTAATCCCGATGTAAGTTTCGTTGTTATTGAAAATTTTATAATTCAAGTTTTGTTTTTTTGTCTTTTTATTTAAAGTGGCTTGTCAATTATTTTGGCCGATTATCTGTTGATGATTGTATTGAATGTTTAAAAGCAATGTTACAAGCTAATATTCGACAAAATTTACAAGTTGTTGTACAGATAGCAACAAAATATCATGAACAACTTGGAACACCAAAACTTATTGAATTATTTGAATCATTCAAAAGTTATGAAGGTAAATTTTTATTAAACGAAAAAAAAAAAAACTATAGTTCTTTTGGTCTTCATTTTCTTGATTGAAATTTTCTTAGTTTTACCTTTTCTATTACTTTCTATGCAATAAAAAAAATATTATATATTAAGGCTATGGTAATAGTGACCATGACCCTGTACAATTATTTCATGCATCCGTAACGCTTATCTTATCGTGATTTTGTTTAATATCACTGTGACGTATTTATATTATTCTTATTTGAATATTTAATTATACATAGTAGCTATCGTTTGAAAATAGTGATTCTAGTTCTATTAATTATTCGTATTCACGTACCTATGTGAAAATTTAATTAGAAAAGCTCGCTTAAATTAGCTGATATTGCTTGCTAAAAAAAAAAGTTTGTAATTGTGTATTGAAGCACTTTTAGTTGCTGAGATTGTGAATATTTGAAGGGCTTCTAAGTGCTACATTTCAACAAGGAGAACATTCGTAGATGATTTACTCCTATTGTACTCATATGTAGAGAATCACGAGAATAATATAATGCTTTCCAAAAAGATGCCGACTCTTTTCTAAATTTATTCAAGATAAAGGCTTTTTTTTTTACGAATATCTTCTAGCTGAATGATTTTCGAGAAAAAAATAAACATATTTTTTTTCACTCCGTTCTGCAATTTTGTACACATGAGGATCGCACCTAGACTACCTCACATATCAAAATCTGATTAGTTTTGAATATTTACAATGCGAAATTCAAAATTGAAGAAATTTAATATATGATACAATCTAATGAGAGAACTACAATGCGGCTGAAACATTCAGAATATTATAAAAGATATTAGNTCATGAGTAAACTGTATATGTAAATTTATATTTTCTTTAATTGTTTATGAAATATCTTTCCATATATTGTCTCGAAAAAATTAACAAAAACAAGATAAGGCATGTTGTTTTATTGGAAAAAATTAGCTATTTAAGCATTAAAAAAAAACACTTTCCGATTTTGAGAACGAAAATTCCGGCATTTTTCCGATTCTAAGAAAAATTTCTCCGATTTTTTAATTCTCGATCTGGCAACCCTGTCACAGGACACAAAATCTTATCCATAAAAATTTCGCACCACTCGTTATTTTCTTTATCCTATTCGTAATTTGAAGTTTATACTCTTGAAATTAATATCGAATAAGTATTTCGTTCCAATGCATATTGATATAATTCGAAAAATAAGTCGGTAAACATCAACATGAGATCAATCTTCTTATCGTTTCATTGATATATTGAACATTTTGGTCTTTAAGAGTAGAAAATAGAACAGAAGAAATATTTGAGACAAGAAGATTAGATATCAATAAAATGCACATTTTCGAAGTTTGAAATTCATCTTCATAAATATTTAATTTCATTAGTAGAAAGTTCGAAATGACGCCGATTGTCTTGCTTCTATATTGTAACATTGAGTAGAATCTAGCTGTTTTCGTTTTTATTTTGTACACATCAATAAAAATTTTCTTTTAGGTTGGTGATCGATGTTTCGATCAAGGAATGTACGAAGCTGCTAAACTTCTTTTTAATAATATATCCAATTATGCTAAATTAGCTATTACATTATGTTATTTGGGTGATTATCAAGGTGCTGTTGATAGTGCACGTAAAGCTAATTCAACAAAAACATGGAAAGAAGTATGAATTTTTTTTTTAAATTCTTTTTGAAAAATATTTCCTTTGTTTTTTTTATTATTTAGATTTGTTTTTCTTGTATTGATAGAGAAGAATTTCGTCTTGCTCAAATGTGTGGTATACAAATAGTTGTACAAGCTGAAGAACTTGAAGAATTAATAAATTATTATCAAAATCGTGGTTATTTTGATGAATTAATACAATTACTTGAAGCATCACTTGGTCATGAACGTGCACATATTGGCATGTTTACTGAATTAGCTATATTATATTCAAAATATAAACCACAAAAAATGCGTGAACATTTAGAATTATTTTGGTCACGTGTACGAAAACCAAAAGTAAATTTATTATTTTTCTTATATAATAAAATTTATATAAATAAATTTCCATTTTTGTTTTTTGTCTAAAGGTACTTCGTGCATGTGAGCAAGCTCATTTATGGTCTGAACTTGTTTTTCTTTATGATAAATATGAAGAATATGATAATGCTATATTAACAATGATGGCACATCCATCTGAAGCATGGCGTGAAAATCATTTTAAAGATATAATTGGTAAAGTAGCTAATATTGAATTATATTATAAATCAATTGATTTTTATTTGGAATATAAACCAATTTTATTAAATGATTTACTTTTAATATTATCACCACGTCTTGATCATACACGTGCTGTTAATTATTTTCTTAAAGTAAAACAATTACCATTAGTTAAACCATATTTACGTTCGGTACAAAATATAAATAATAAAGCAATTAATGAAGCTTTAAATAATTTATTAATTGAAGAAGAAGATTATCAAGGTTTAAGAAATTCAATTGATGCATATGATAATTTTGATAATATAACATTAGCACAACGTCTTGAAAAACATGATTTAATTGAATTTCGTCGTATATCAGCTTATCTTTATAAAGGAAATAATCGATGGAAACAAGCTGTTGAATTATGTAAAAAAGATCGTTTATATAAAGTAAAAGAAAACTTTAATATTTCAAATTTATAAAAAAAAAAAAAACAACTTTTCTTTTTTAGGATTCAATGTCTCATGCATCAGAATCTCGACAATGTGAAATAGCTGAAGATTTAATATCATGGTTTCTTGATGAAAAATTATTTGAATGTTTTGGTGCATGTTTATTTCAATGTTATGATCTTTTAAGACCTGATGTTATACTTGAACTTGCTTGGCGTCATGATATTATGGATTTTGCTATGCCTTATATGATTCAAGTGATGCGAGAATATATTACAAAAGTAAAATTAAATTGCACTTCTTTTTTTAAAATATAATCTAAAAAGAGTGCTAACGTGTGGTCACGTGAAAAATTGACTTTCGACTTCAAATTTTGCATGAACAAATTTCTTAATGATATTAGTCGATTGTACAACTAGTATTTCCTTTCTGGAGATGTAAATATATGAACAAAATTTGCTTTTTTTACATGAGAGAATCGAATATTGAATATCTCAGAATAGAAGATACTGAACAAGTTATAACTTGCTTCATGTTCATGCTAAATGTGAACTCGAAACTCTTACATAACCTAAGAGAATCACAGTTTTTTGTTAAAAAACTCAAGAAAATTTCAAAAACAAAGACCCAAAAAATCAAACCATTCTAGACTTTTCTATTACTCATCAAGTAAACATTGTCTCGATTGAAAAGCAATTTTGATACCTTGGAAGATTTCTTCGTTAACAACAAATCATTCCAGACATAATCATGTAAAAGTCACAGACTCTGACAGATGTTGTTGATTTATAATCAACTACTGTATATTAATCACGTATCGTTACAGCGTATGATTGACCGTATAAAGGTCGAAAAGAAAAGTATCCAATTGGCAAATAGTCGAAAAGTTCATTAAAAGATACCGACTAGCAAGAGACGTTTTCTAGCGTATAGCAAAATACTAACATTCTAATAGGGATCAACATAAGTCAAGAAATTAAAAAAAAAACTATGAAGTATCATGTTCTCATTTAATAACTACAAATAATAATTCATCTAAATATCCCATTACATTTATAAGGTCATCATGATATTGTTTAGGCTTATTTCGAGCTTCAGGGTATAGTTGTGGATGTGTTCTTCTTTTAAACTGACACTTACACCCTTGTTTCAATAATTTTCTCTTTTAACATGTTTACAACAAGCCTAATATATAAACTACTTTCTTATTGAATTTCTGCAGGATTAACTTAAGCGATAATGAAGAAATGTATCCCAAAATAGATAGAATAAGATTAACAATAACAACTACCTCGTGTTTTACATTGTAATTCCGCAGGGATTACGCTAAGAGCTTTGTTTTTATTTCTGTTAAATAAAATTGACTTTTGTTTTTTTTTTAAATTAGGTGGATAAACTTGAACAATCAGATCAAGTTCGTACGGAAAATGAAACCGCTAATGACCAAAAACCAATTGATTTTAATGGTAAGTAATAAAAAAACAAAAAAAAGAACAAGAAAAATAAAGAAATTTTAAATTCTTTCTTTTAGCTCAAGGTCCATTAATGATAACTGGACCTGGTATGGGTGTTTATCCACAAGCCGGCTTTGTTCCTGGTGGTATGTATCCAACATACGGTGGTGCACCAGGTTATTCAGGATATTAGAAAAATATTTTTTTTTCTGACAAACAAATAAAAGAAAAAAACTAATAAACATTTGAGTGTGTGTTTCGCTTTTTTTTCATCATATGTAAATGTTCTTTTTTTCTTGTTTGTCTGCGTGTTTGCTCGAGCGACTTTTCTCTTTCTCAATATTTACGATGATGATATATAGTTGCATTCCTTTCTTCTTTGGTTTTTCGTTTGATATTGTCACACACATACTACTTTCTAAATTATAATTCTCTTCTTTTTTAGGTAAAAAAAAAATACATATTTACGTTTAGGAGAACCATTCTTCTTCTTCTTCTTCTTCTTCTTCTTTTTGTGTAACCCGTGATCTTTCTCTTTTTTTTTTGCAGATCCTCTTGCATGCGATCAGTCTATTTTGATTTATTCTATATTGTCCTTCGTTTTTCTTGTTTGTTCATATATACGGCATTATATTACGCATTAAAAAAAAAGATCTTATTACGCCAAGACAAAGCTAAGATTGTTGCATTATGATTAATTAGAGAAATATATATATAAATATGATATCATTGTCAATATTCTATTTAAAATAACTTTTGTTATCGTATGTGTTTTTTTTTTGCTAGTGTTCATTCCTATATTGATTCATCGTATAATATATGCACATTGAATTCCATCTGTAGCTCGCACATTTCTTATCATCATTTAACATAATAAATCTGTCCAAATTAGGTTATTTTAAACAAAAAAGCAAATAATTTGAATAGTAATTGAATTGAACAAGAAAAATTTTCTGTTCAGTCAAAACAAAGAATTATTCAATAAAGATGATTTGTTAACGAAGAAGAGATTATCATACGATTGTAGAAGTCTCATTCGACCTCAGATTTTGATTACAAGTAGATCTTCATTGAACAAAGAGACGGTAAAAATCTTGCACATAGATTTTTATTGTATTAATATACCTCTGTACATTTATATATTTAATAGAAAGAAAACTTATTCATGAAATGAATATTCTATATATAAGAAATTTCATATTTTAACGTCAAAAAAAACCATTCTATCAAGAAATGTTCTCAAGAAGAATATAGAATCAAACAGTATCCGATATTTAGAACTCTTTCTATGTATATGGTATTGAAAAATAATGAATGGAAAATTGAAATGTTTTTCAAAATATGCATGAAAAATATTAATGTTTACGTTCATAGACAACAAGAAGTAGTTCTGAGCTTTTGAATGAACTTTTTATTATTTTTCTATAAATATAACGGCACTAGTTGAAAATTTCTTAAAAAAAACATATTTTGATATAGGTAGAAGCAAAGCCAGAGTACAGCCAAATAGCTCAACCCAGAGTTGGAACCGGACAGGTTTTTTCTATCCGGTCCGGTCCGGCCGGTTAAAAAATCTGCCCGGTCCGGTCCGGTTAGCATCCGGCCAGACGAATTTTAAAGCCAAACTGGCAAAAATCCGGCGAAAATAACCGACCATAAAAGTATCTGTTAACATAAAATGTTGGCGAAGGGGAATTGAATATTCACATGCAGAAATCCCAACTTGGGATGATCAATTAACATTTACGAAAAATTTATAAATCCAAAAATAAATTTTAAGAAATTTAAATTAAAAATAAATTTTAAAAAGCTTTATTTATTTCGAATTTAAATCGGATATACATAAATTTAAATCTTTTAAAATTATTTAAATTTATTCAAATCCAATTTAAAATTATAACTAATTAACAGCAAATTGCCACCCTTACTCCGAACTGGAAACTAAAACTTTGGACTGAAACTCTCCCTTCATATTTTATGGCAAGATGCGTCGACTTCTCGAGCCCGATATCGATATAAATTAGCTATTCAGAGCAAAACTGTTTTTCATCTCAATTTCAAAAACGAAAAAAAAAAGCAAATTTATAAAACATATGACATAAAAATGTAAATTTTTTATTTTTCTTGATTCGGGCAACTGCGTAAGTAGAACAAGAGAATAAATTATTTGATCAAAGTTAAATTGAGCGATACACGAGAAAGAAATCGATGAATATAAAGAGAACAATAAATCGTTTACAGTTAAGTCAAAGACAAGATAGCTATTGAGTCTTTCGCAAACACATTCTTTTGACTTGAAAATATCATAAAAAGACCATTTTCAGTAGAGACAATTCTTGGATGCAAACAACAATTTTGTAATGATGAACTGGCAAAAATCCGGTTCTGTCCGGCCCAATTTAACTTCTTGTCCGGTCTTGTCCGGTCCGGTCCGGTCCGGTCCGGTCCGGCCGGACCGGAGCCGGATTGCCGGACCGGTTCCAACTCTGGCTCAACCTTTTCACGTGCAATTTTACGTTACCGACATCTATGATTCTTTCCATCGGTCTCATCAAAAAAATAAAAAAGTAAAGGATCAAAAACCGTATTCTCTATTTAGAGAAACATCAAATCTGTTGTCTATTGTTGATTGAATCAACAATATACCTAATAATATAGTTGCTTTGCACGATCAATTTATATCAACATTATTAACATTGTATATATCATCATTGTTAATGTCTACTGATACTACTAGTCATCTATTAGCTGATTTACTAACACAACGTTTTTACCATCACCAGGACTCTTAACATACGTAATATCATCACCATTATTACCTATTGATATTTAGTTGCTTATCAATTGATCCATTTGATCAGCTGATAGATGATTTTTCAAGATTTACAAAAATGATCACATTAGCTTGTTACTTATCTTGAATAATTAGTGTGAACAAATAAACTTTTAGCTTTGGAACGATGTTAGCTTTAAAATTGAACAATATCTATTCGACGTATATAAAAGTGACTAGTCTGTGAATGAGGTCAAAAACAGGCTAGGAAACGAAGCTGTGCCCTTCCTTCGCATGCTTGAAGTACTGATTACGCCACTGGCTGTAGTAATGTTTAAGTATGAAACCTATGTAAATAAATTGAATAAGTAGTAAAACAATTTGTCTTTCATTCTTGGAATAACAAGATTTTTATAATATCTATGTGAATAAAAATAAATATCTTTTTCTAAATGGATCCTAGTTATAATATAAGCAATTGTGTATGGATTATTTTCTTCTTTAGTTCTCGTCATCAAACGGATACTCTTTAATATTTATTGAAACAAGGAAACATTGAGCTTGCTTCGAAAGTAGTAGATATAGGTTTTCTTTTTATATATTTCGTAATATTAACCACAAACGTCTGACATCTTTTGTCGAATGTCTTATACAGATTGATTGGTACAGCACTGTTCGAAAGTGTTTTGCTGCAACGTGGATTTTATTTTATTTTATTTTATCAAAAGTCAATCGTATTACTTCGTATTTAAGATAATTATTGTTACTGTACAATTTTAATGATATAAAAATTAAATTCTAAATTTATTTCATGGCATTTCAACAAGAGTATTTTGCCATTCCACCCATAACACGGGCTTATACAACCGCATGTATTTTAACCACACTTGCAGTAGTGAGTAAAGATTTTCTTTTTTCTTTTTCTTTTTTTCGATATAAAATTCTCATATCATTATTCCGCCCTGTTAAATCGCACAACCTGCTCGTCAATTTCTGATATATCTCAATTACAAAGCTCAATTGTTCATGTATAATCGGATAGGAAAGCGAAAAAAAAGACGAAGTAATTGATCGATGCCGTAATTTGTCAGGTGTCGGAATATGATAAAAAGATTCGAAAGTGTGATATTTTTGCAATTAGAACAACTGTCACATTACATAGATTTATTTCGTAGTACCGTTATATTCACTAATCAATCTCAAGTTATGTTTTTTATTAAAGTGATTCTCTTCTCTCCTCTTTATATATATTTATTCAATAATCCCTTTAGCTAGTTTTTTTTTCCTCCTTGCCAATCTTTCTCTCACTCTTTTACTTTAAGATGGCAGATGGCTGGTTGCTTAGGATGTAAGGTTGCCTTGAGCTATCGTCACTTATGTGAAGAGGTAAATAGAGAGAAAGGCCACTTGAACAATCGTCAATAAGTACCGAAGCACATCCTATTTATTTGTACTCATCCTTTCCAGTCTACACTCTTTCTTTTTTTTTTTTGTCAAATGAAACCTATCATATTGAAGTTAATTTGTCTATATGTATGTTCATAATTAAAGTTAACAATAAAAGCTAGATCATTTATTTTCTAAACGGAAATTCGTTGAACAAACATCATTGAACGTGCGATATTGATGGTACACGAATGAGCAGATGCGGATGTGCACCGCTCGTGTATTTCATATCTCGAACGGGTGTTGAAGCGTGGCATTATTCAGTCGGCAGCAGGAAATATAAAGTAATAACATCGTTATGTAGATGAGAGAAAAAAAAGAGATCTAATCATGCATAAATATGATATCAGGTGTGTAATCAATCCGCCTCTCTTGAATACATTAAAGTGAAAATATCGATATGCTTGTCTTTTATTTAACAATAAATCAAAGTTAACAAATAAATAAAAAAAATAAAACGATTAACAGAAATGTAATTTTCATCTGCCGGAAAGAAAAATGCATTCATTAATTTTATTATTATTAGCATTATTGTTGTTTTATTTAGCAATTAGATTTTATTACGGCTTATCAGCTTTATTTTAATCCAGAATTAATCTTTAAAAAATTTCAAGTAATAAAAAAAAAAACAACAACAAAAGACTAATTAGTTAAACTTAACAATTCTTTTTTTTTTTTGATCTTATAGCTATGGAGATTAATGACATGTTTTTGTTTTTATGGTGGAATTGGTTTTAATTTTTTTTTTAATTTATTATTTACATATCGTTATTGTCGTCATCTTGAAGAAGGTTCATTTCGTGGACGTGCTGCAGATTTTCTTTTTATGTTTCTGTTTGGTGGAATATTAATGATATTAATGGCATTATTTGTTAATATTGTTTTTCTTGGTTCATCATTAACAATTATGTTAGTTTATGTTTGGAGTCGTCGAAATCCTTATGTTAGGTTTGTATAAAACAAAACAACAGAAT